TCACTATTTATGTTATGAGCCCCATGTAATAGGGAGTGAGCCTATTGCCATATACCGGGCAGAATTCATGTTTTTTACCGTAGTTGTTCATGATATGAAGGTTTATTTATATCCAGGGCCTTTCTCTATTCGGGCATAACTGTTGTATTGACTTCTTAGTATCAAAATTAGTCCAAAATTTTAGGATTGCTTTTATTCTCGTCATTTTCTTCAATAAAATGTATGATAAGTTTCCAAAGTATAGCAGTAAGTTCGCCTTTTATTACAAAAGGAATATTAACGGAACCGAATTAAAGTATTATTGTTCTATTAATAGACCTTCTTCTATTCACCAACATGTATGCAGATAAAATAAATTTGAGTGTCTGCTTGTAATATTAAAATAACCACTTTTTACTACATGCAGTACATGTATATGAATATACATACGATACACATAGCAAAATATTTTTTTTTACAATTTATGTCCGTCTGTTTGTTCTGGCTAGTCTTTGGCATGGCTGGACCGATTTTGCAAGACTTATTGGCTGGTAGTTGATGTACTAAGGAGTAACATAGGCCACTTTAATTTTGAAAAATTGGAACAAAAGAGTTATGTTTTAAAATTCATATTTTACGCGGTCTAAGTCGCAGGCAACGGCTAGTCTTTCAATATATTTGTCATTATATCAATTGAATATTCTCCACCATTCTGCCTTACCGTTTACCGTTTGTTCAAATATCGGTTCAATCAATACAAAATTACTAACATGAGTAGCTTTGAAACAGGCTTTTAATATTCATTCAGGTTACCACTAATCGATGTGAAGGGCTCAATGTTATTAAAGCCATGCGGTGATGTGGTTTTCTCAACTAATACACCCTTTTAATATCGGTTATTGCTATTAGGATCAGGGAACATGTTTATATGATTACTTAGGAATAGCTTTCGTGTTTATTAATTGGCAGGGTATGAAAATTAAAAATCTAATTAGTCCGTAAGTTAGGTAATGAAGAAATATTAGACACGTATTTTTTTATTTTGTCGCATAATAAAATAATACTTAGATAAAACGAATCAAAGTTTAGGAGTGGGGGCTAAGACGTCATTTCTTAGTATAAAATGTAGTGAGAAGTGACGTCACGCGACATTTCAAATCAATATATTCGTAAGTATTCGTTTCTGTATGATTTAAAATAATTTACCCGACGAAAATAAAAATAGGCATCTACCCTATTATTTAGATATCAGAGGAAAGATGATAGTTAAGAAGGCTGGTGATGTTGCTATTATTATAGGATAATTTATAAAGAGAATTTTCTATAGCAACTGTTTTAATCAGTTGCCTGGTGGCTGGTTATTTTTTATGCCTTTATGCCCTGATCAACTTCCTTTAGTAAGGATTTTAGATATTAAACATTTGATCACTTTTAGGAAGAACAGTCATTCAACCAGTCATTGCTCTAAATAACACAATAGAACGTTTTTCGTAACATCATTGTTCAACATCAATTGTTTAATTTATCTCCTGAAAAGATCTAGTCTAGTTTCCAGTTGCTTTGATCCGCACTTATGTCATTAATCTTTTTTTTTATCTTCGTTATAAAAACTCCTTGGAAGTTGTCTTTGGCGAGTGACCATAGATGTTTACTTACGCAATTCAGACTTCATGGTTGAACGAACTTCCTCCATACGTTTTTGGCGCGAAGTAGGTTGTACGTTTTTAATTTGCAAAATTATAAGCATGCATGTATGTAGTTTATATTATACGCGTCGTTGAATGCTTTAATGAGCCTATTATACTGTTTAATTTATTGTGATAGTCATTGAGGGTTGCCATTCAATAGTTCAAATGTAAACCGCTACTGAGTAACAAATTCAGTTTAGAGTAAGAATTTGACACACATAACACCACGCCTTTTATCCCTGAATGGATAGGCAGATGTGCACATTACGACACTGAATGCCACTGTACAATGTAACACTCATTTTTCACTACTTATGTTATGAGCCTATTGCCAAATACCGGACACATTTCCAGACTCCGTGCTACCATTGAGAATTTTTTAAGAACCCAATAGTACTTTGCCCGGCCCTAGAATCGAACCGGAAACCCTTTGCCCGGCAGTCGCATTTGCGACCAGTCGGTCAATGGGGCAGTCAGAATTTGAAACTATTTGAATATTATGTACAGGCTTTTTTAAATGATCCATACACCTTAAAGTCATACACAGTTTTTTTATTATGAAATAAGCGTTAATAGATAAAAAAGCAAAATTACGAAGGTTCGTTTGTTGGACGTAATTGATAAAATGATACCAAACATTTGTATGTTTCACTCAGAGACTCTGAAGTCAGTCCTAAAAGTCGTCAACCTCGCACAGCTGTTACTGCATTATTCATTCGTTTAATTTCCAATTTATTTGATTAATGAGTTTACTAGTCTTCCTTATTAATTATATACTCACTTTGTCAGCGCACGTTAATGATATCGTGTGAGGATTTTACCTTAACTTATGTATATGCATGTTTAACAGTAGAAGTTTTGTAAAATAGGTATGATAAACATACAAATGAATAAACCTACAATACAGAAGTACCGTGAAGTAGGTAGACAGAAACCACAGAGCACCATCTAGACTAGAATATACATACATACCTTCATTCCTTCACGCCTGTCTCTCATGGTGGTAGACAGAGACTAGGAACGCCATTTACTATGATTCCTACACACCTCTTTCGCTTCATCAACAGTCATCAATCTTTTCATGCAGGCTCGTCGGTTAAGGGTACTTTTAATTTGGCCCTTCTTTCATTTATCGCCAAACTGGTCACTATATTATGTCCTCTACCGACGGCCTCATTCATATCCGCTCTGTATACTTCTTTCGTTACTCTACTTTCATCCATCCTTGCTACATACCATTCGGCTCGAGCGACGTGCAGGAGTAGGAACGGGGTGGTTTTTAGTCTGTAAGATTCTTACACTAAAGGCGGGAACAGTCATTCGATGATTTTCCGCCCTTAAAAAAATCCTTTCTACATGTCCAGAATATATCCTTACATACTTCTCTAGCTTCCATCAGATTCATGTACTTGCTCATATAAGCACGCATAATTTGTTACGTATCATATACATATCTAGGTGTATTGGTAGGACAACTTTCATACTCACATGTAATGCATTCGATTTTACCTTCCGTAGGGCTAACCGGAATTTCTGCATTCAATGTGAACTACTTTTATACGTTTCCTGTATCTTGTAAGTCTGTGCTTACCAGAGGCCCAATTCCCCACCATCCTAAGGACGACAATGCACTTGTATAACACGTCTAGTGTTGCGAGTGTGTCCGTAGGCCGTGCCGATTCCTTGTCATCAGGTGCTCCGTATCCTCGTTGGCCCCTTTGCCAAAAAAATTGGTTAGTTATTACAATTGTATGAGTACTAGTTCAAGTTTATTGAAAATATTAGGCCCTTCTGTGATTAAATGGAAAGGGACGTAATAACATTTTCTGTGTTTCGAGTTCCCCACCTATTCAATTTTGAAGAGTTTTCAGGCCTTGAACCTTTCCTTGATGAGATTTCGTTAGATTTCGATCCGATTCAGATAGATTTTGTCAAGCAAATATGTTCCAGGACTTCTAGACTTCTCCGACCTTTAAATAAAACCTAAAACTTAATCATAAATCACCCACAAATTGCCATAAATGGGATTCCTAAATCTAATTTCTTTTGTAACCACAGAGAGTCGCTTCTTTAAACGCTATGTAGCGCGGGCGTCGTGCTACTTGCTCGGCGCAGCGTTGCGTCACGCGGGTCATCGAACCTCCTTGCGAGGTTGCGCGCCAAAATCTAGGTTGTTGTACGTCAAATCGAGCTTGTAATGGCGGGCAATTTTTATTACAATCATTATTCAATTAATAATACAATGTTATGTTGTCTGTAGCTTGTTTAAATACTCTTTTCGGATTAATTATTTATTACTGTTAATTTTTGTACTTCTAATTTGGACCGTACTCAAATGTGGCGCTACTCTTAGCATACTGTGGAGGACAGATTGCAATCGCTTCAAATAAAATAGTATCATTCAGTTGAATATGGCTAAGAATCCAACGATCTGGGAAAAGCCGAAAGAAAGACAACTTATAACGTACGTAACGTTTATTAATCGGGGGACAAAACAGCTGTTTCTTTCTACTTCCATTTCCGAGTGATACTTATATATTGAACTGAACAATTAAAAACTAACCTTCTATAAGTTAGCCATTCTCTAGTAAAGTTTTTACTAAAATTACCAAAAGAGTAGATAGCGTTTACATTTAATTTAGTACCTACGTAACTATCGACCATGAAACTCTTCTCTCTCCTCTCGTATTATATTTAAACAAATAAACTCCTTCACACGTAATTCAACCTAAACATTGAGGAGTTGCCTGTAGCACAGATTATACACATTTTTAGTTCGCATAAACATTTATTACCTTTGCGTGGTTATGCTTGGAATGCGGCCAACGGATACAGACTAAAAAAATGTGAACAGATTAAAAATATTATTTGAGATAGGTATATGTACTTTATTTATTAATATGAGATTATTAATATGAAATAAGAAAAGATGTTTATCTATATTGTTTTCATTATGTTATTCTTTATTAGAAACTAATTCCAGTAAAGGGTCGGATTAGATGTAGTAAAACTACTTTTACTAGTAAATGTATTTCTTATCTTCGTGTACTTTTGTAACTACACAGCTAACTTATAACTAAAAGTAACAGGAAAACATAAATAAGTCATTAGTTTTTCTACATTATATGCTCACATCCACAGTATATTAAACATTCATAATGATATTAGCTGACAAGCGGGGTGTTAAATTAATAAAAATTTGGACCTATTTTTACCTAGAAGACTTGCATAGTTTCCATACCTAAATTTGTTTAGGGGGTCAATAAATAAATTTAGAGGTAGTTCTCTTTCGCATTTCTTCTATAAGTTAATGATTATTTCTTAAATTTTCAGCTGGAGAGGTGTTATCAACGCAGCGTCCACTAGTAAAGTGTCGACCGCTTCACGCTGCCACTCTAGAGTCTAGGAACAAAGCGAAGAAATGTGCTGAATTCTTGCAGCCTTATAGGTGAGTGAAGATGTAATATTTTCAGTCCTAATGAAATTCCAAGTAGAGGTTAGTAGAACTTCAATAAAACCATCCACCTGGGTGGTCTCTAACCCGCCTTCTTAGCGCGGAGATTATGAACATTCTCTTTTATTTGAGACCTGGTTATATCCAGCAGCCAGCAGTAGAGTTTAACTGGCTTTTGTTGATGAAGCGGATGACTAAAGCGTAAAGGATTCAAGTCATAATGAACTGTTAACAACTGTTTTGTACATGTTTCCAGACAACGGCCAGAAACATGCACAGCATTGGCAAGGCGGCTGGTCTCTGGTGCTCTGGGCGTCAAGCTGAGCACGGCGCGACAGGAGCGAGCTGAAGAGAGGAGACTTATCACTCTTGCCAGAGGTAACATCTATTAATATACTTAACTTAATAAATTACTTTTCATCTTTTCTTTCTTAAATTAATTTTTAAATTAAATACCTATATAATATAAAAATATAAAATATAAATAATAACAAAATAATAATTCTTAAATTAATAAAAAA